CAATTAAAAGATTGAATACTTACATCAAGGTTTGAGTAAACTTTATATCACTCCTCTAAAGTGAATGTTCTCACTTATTGCAGATCCCTTTTGCTAGACACCTTTTCTATGGATCTCCATCTTCTTGGTAATGGTCTTGCCTTTAGGAATCACTCATAAGCCTCCATGAATGACCTTGGAAAATTAGGCTTGTGGGAGCCTCCATTAGATGAGAATACTAACCCTAATTTTCTAGAGAGAGAAAATATATTCATTTTTCCTTCTCATAAAAAATCACCCCTAAAATATACATAAACCATGTATATATATAGGCAACATAAAGATAAGGAAAATGAAACTATAAATCCTTCTCAATCTCTACTTCACATATCTCAGATCTAATATGATTCCAATATCAAGTTGGGCTATGAGTGAGAATCCTTTGGGCTTATTATTTTTGTTGGTTACAATGAATTAATAATTGGCCCGGTCCATGGACCCAATTAAATTAATTCATTAATTAATTTCTACTCCACTAAAAGAAATTGATTGAACTCCAATTAAATAATAAATAACCTCTAAGTCAATGTTGTACTTTGACCCCTCTATGCATAATTAGTTATCGGATAAATAATGCCATCAATCCGACTACTTAATTAATATATTTATTTTGGTACCTTTGATTATTTCTGGCTCGATCACAATAAAACATTTGTTTGACAAAAATAATAATTTAAATAAATAAATATATAATAAATCATTTTGTCTAAAAACATACGAAGGCCTTCGAATTTACTTTGTGATCAACCATAATCAATACAAAATAAATACAAGTAGCAATGATACAAATATTGAAAATATAACCCTCTAACTATTAATTACATAACTACCCAAAGTGTCGGTCTAAGGATCCCAAAGAATCCGCTGAACAAATCAAAGTCATTATTAATTAATAAAAGAGTCTATAATTTTCTCATGCTTAAGAGTCAAATGCCATGACGGTGATAGGGAGCAATTGCATACGACGGCTCTCGCAATATATGTCAACCTAACGCGGATTCAGTTCAAGTCTTAATCAATTATTATTCCATCCATAATTACCGACTATGAACAATTTATGATTACTATTTATATTAATGTATTGATCGCCATCACATACATATATAAATATTTCTTGTAATCAAGATGACACTATCAATTCTATAATGAATCGAAATATAATACATTGAATTCACCAATTATACAAAACATAAATATTTCAGAAACGTTAGGAACATATGTCACTTTAATCCAAACAGGAATTTGCTATGCCAGGGCATATAAATCCCAACAGTCACGATGACATCAACTCTGACTCACATAAAATTAGTCGATGTGTATGATTAACGGACTCTATATCATTAGTCAAGTAATTAACGTCAAATAATCTACCTATGCGTAATTTGTTCGAACATCAAAACAAGTCATCAATGTAATTTATCTTAAATTTTACTAGTGGATTTACAGTTGTTAAGATCCTTCTTTTATGAGTGACACCTTAGGGCATCTCCAATGGACTCTCCGAATTCAGACTTCCCGAATTTGCCACATCAGCATTTTCCCATAGCCACGTCAGCATTTCCCATAGCCACGTCAGCGTTTTAGAATCTCCAAATTTTAGCTATCGGATGTATTCCAATGATGCATTTTTGCTCTCCAAAAATATTAATATTTTAATATTTTTTTAAATTTTTAATAAATTTTATTTTTTAACTTTTTCCTAACGACTATATTTTTAAAACGGCTATATCATAAATAAAAAAAATTAAACAATAGAATATTTATTATTAAAAACAATACGATACGACATAAATTTTTGTGCCAATATAGCTGTTAAGGCACTGTTTGGGTTAGCCAAACAGTGCCTAAAACGGCTATATGTTAGTAGGAATATTTTTAAAAGCAAATTTTTTTATAAAAAAACACTTCTTTTTTTTTTAAAAACTTTTTTTGCCCAAAAAAGCCTTTAAAACACAGTTTGTATCAACCAAACAATGCCTAAATGGTTCTTTGGTTCAATTATTTTGAGGAAAAAAAAAAAAAAAGACCAAAATCAGCCAAAAAATTAATTTTTTTCCCCTTTTTTTCGGTCAAACAGGCTTTACGAAACAGTGTTTTGGGCTAAAACACTGTTTGGGCCAGAATTAAAAAAGAAAACTGATGTGGGCCCGCATGTCAGGCCCGCAATTAGCCAAACCAATCTTGGTTTTTGGAGACTTGGATCAAGATTGTCTTAATGGGGCCCACTTTTTGAAGAGTCCATTGGAACAGCCCAATTTTCAAATTTAGCCCAAAATTGCCGGATCACTCGCCATTGGACCTGCTCTTAGGGTAGTAAAAGCCACATCTTCCATTTATTCTTCAATCAATCATAATTGTTCAATATGTAAATTTTGTTCATTTGGTTCAAAACATGCAATATCTAATAAAAATATAGCAAAACCGATCAAACATAGATGATTGTGATTTACTAAAAAGTAAATGGAGGACTACATTTATATCTCTTAAATGGAAATTAGGAGCCAATTTCTCAACCTTGTGCTTGAAACTCTACGCACGTGCATTGTAAAAGACACGTTAAACACGTATGTATCTCCTCCAAAATTAGAGCTTTCCACGAAGTAAGGTGATCAAATGTTTAGGTTTTCATTGATTGACGTTGTAGAAATTTTTCATACAAAATATATATGTGTTGAAATGTTCACAAGTCTATATTCAACTGGGACTATTGACTGGTAAATTGGATGCTATTTCGAATACAAAACGTACAATGTGAAGGTTGATGGCTTGACCATTGTCTACCGAGCCAATTGTTTCCTACTATGTTTGATAAATTATATTTTGGTGACCAAATTTAAACAAAATTATTCAAAAGTGACCTCAAAATCAAAAAAATATGAATTATATTTGGATAACTAATTCCACTATATGATTAATTTTGCTACTTTCTTATGCCATTTTAGACTATATATTAATACATAATTGATATTTTAGAAAATGACACAATTGCCATTCAGTAAAACATTCACTCTAGCTACAATTATTTCACAAAGTACTTTTACATTGCAATTAATGGTTGCTTCATTTCTTATTGAAGAAAAAAAAAAATCAAATTAGTGTAATTTTATAATTAAAAAAATGTGAACTACAAATGTCAACATTAAATTATACACACATTTTGTTTTTTTAAAAATTATTGTACATACACTTATTGAGTGATATGAAGGAAAATGAATAAATTGAGACCAACCAAAGTGGACTAAAGTGTCTTTTGGCACAAATGCTAAATCCTCACCTTTAATAAACAAAATCTGAGTCATTTAGGAGTAATAATAGTATCCTCGTAGCATCTTGTTAAAAGACTCTTTTGTGTAAAATATACAAAATAAATAAAAATAATAATTTATTTTCAACAGTATATTAAGATACAAATTATTGTTTTATCTCTCGTCACTTTTTCTCATTCCATTAATAAATTATTCATATATTAAGTAGATTTGTAAAAATTATATGGGGTCTAAGACATGACACACGGTTAGTTGTTATTGATAGATATATTTTTATACAACCAAACTAAAAATAATTAGTCTAAAATTTTTGTATAAATCTACTATGATATGTCATATTTACACAAAAACAAATAATAATAATAATAAATAATAAATAATAAAAAACCATTGAAGATGCTATCACCTTTAATAATGATACACAATAAAGTATCCCATAATGCATGTAGTTCGCTGATGGCATTATAAACAAATGGGTTAAAAGGTCGTAAGAGTAAAACAGAATACATGGAATAAATTTAATAGACTTCGGAAAAGTATCTAAAAAACAATAGTAATTAAAGGTCAAAAGGTTATTCAAAAAAATTAAAACTTAATAATACTAAACAAGTTAAAAATAAAATTTTATAGAATTGTCATTAGGTGGATATATTATTAGGGAGGGAGGTCCGATCATCACATTCAATGATTGAAACTCCGGTACAATACCTAGAAGTATTATAAACTTTAACCTAATGAGGGGAAGATTTGGGCATTTAGAAGGAAAAAAATAAACAATAATAAAGTTGAGTATTCATCTAAATGAAATAATAGATGGATGATTATTGTGGCTTTCTATAATACATAGTTTTACTAATCGTAGTGTGAGTGAGAGATTAAGAATTATATAAAGTGATTAAATTATTTTTAAAAAATAAACATAAAAAAGAAACATGATATATAATATAACAAAATAAATAACTTATATTGAGAATTTATATGACCGACCTCTTTAGAAAAACGCGAAAAAAAAAAAAAAAAAAAAAGAAAATATGAGGAAGACAAGGTGATCAATGGTAAATATATAAAGAAAGTATAATATAAATTGATGGTCTAAATGTGGGGCAACAAGTTTTCTAATAGGTCCCCAAAACTAGATTGGGATTCTCTCTTACTTTTATCTGTCTCATGACTCATGTATTTCTGAAACTAAATCTGATAATGAATTATAATTACACACGCATATGATTATAATTGTAATTGTAATGCTGTAAAATGATGAGTTGGATATTTTTTATCCTTCAGAAGTATGAACTATTGTAGTTATTAATATTAATGATTTCTTGATCACTCTAAAAATAAAATTTATACACTCCAAATATCACCACGGTTAGAAATGAAAATAAAAATATTAAAAATTGAGTAATAGATAGCTGTTACTGAATACCTTGTCAATCACAACATCTCAGTTCGTATTATCAAGATAAATGAAAGATTATGATTGGTGGAGGGTATTTAACAACCGCTACTCCTTTCATAGTATATAATTTTTCATATTTCGTGAATAAATATTCAATGCACTATCATGCGTGTTGTGCATGTACGGTTTTAATTAATTCAGTGCATTATATCACTTACATATCATGTAGTTCACACCGAGGCACACAATGAGGCATAGTAGTTGATCCCACCTCAACAAGCTATTCTGGGGGAGTTGGCAACTTGGCACACAATACATACCAATACCATATTCCTAATCCTAATTTATTAAAAGTTGTTTTTGAATAAATAAATAAAAATACCCAAACATAATAAAATGCAAATAGCACAAATCAACATCAACAATACAACACAAGACTGAAAAATAAAGCCAAAAAAAAAAAATCAAAATTTGAGAGAAGAAACCCAACTTGTCTCGATCGAAAATTCCTGAAAAGGTCAGTGAAAATCCTCTGTCTCTGTTCATCAATTCGATCAATTGTCTGCGTTTTATTCCCTTGTTCTATATTTCAACATATACATTTCGATTCTAATTTTAGTTTGTTTTGCTTTCGAAAAACCAAGCTTTTGTGTTTGTGAAATTGACTTGATGCTTCCGGAAAAAAAAAATTAACTTAGATTTTTATTTATTTATTGTTTGAATGTTGAAATTGTTTTCAGTCTTTTAATATTGTTTCTTTCTGCAATGTTTATGTAGTTATTTGGTTTATCTGTTAACTATCTGCTGCGAGTGTTTCCGTTTTTTCAATGTTTCTGAATATTACTTTTTAGCGCATATGTGGAGATTGTTTGAAGATTTTAGGGCTACGTTAATGTGCTGATACTGTTTGATTTCAATTTTTTTTTCTCTTTTTCTCTCGATCAAAATTGTGGTACATAAACTATATCTACACAGTCGTCTATATTTATAAGTACGTAGTTTAAATTGTTTAATAGATTGTATTGATTGCGGTAATTCATAACATCTGACTAATCAAGCATAAAATTTCAATGGAGTGTATATATGATCTCTCATCATATACTAATATTTGTGATTATCTAGTCTCTGAGGGAGAGTGCTCTCTCTCTCACGCCCTCACTCATTAAATTCAATTGTTATAATTTTCTCTCGATCTTGTTCTTAACTTTGAGATGTTTAGATTATATTCATTTGTGTGTTCATTTCATTTCATTACTTGGCTCAATGTGAATTTTTTTTTTTTTTTTTTTCATTTCGTGATTCCACTCTATTTCTCACATTGTTATATTATGTAAACTGAACATTAGGTATTGTGCATTGCAATTTGGGGGTGACACTATTATGATCATGAGATACAAGAAAGGGAGTAAAGTGGAGGTCTTGGAAAAAAATGAAGCACCATCAGTCTTTTGGCGTTGTGCTGAGATACGAAGTGGGAATGGGCACAATTACACTGTTAAATTCGAGTGCCACAATGCTACCAAGGAGACAATTGTTGAAAGGGTATCTAGAAAGTCAATTAGACCTTGTCCTCCTCCCTTGCATCCTTTGGGAAATTGGATTTCTGGTGATGTTGTAGAGGTGTTTCTCAATTTCTCTTGGAAGATGGCAACAGTGTCTAAGGTTTTAGATGGGAACTCCTTTTTGGTTAGGTTACTTGGATCCTTCCAGGAATTTGAAGTCACCAAATTTGACCTCCGGGTACGACAATCTTGGCAAGGTGACAAATGGATTATTATTGGAAATGTAAGTTCATTTGAATCTATTATAATCTTGAAACGTATTCATTCATTTGAAATCTAGAGTGTCTTTTGAATCTTTTTTACATTGTCTTGGCTTTTTGTATTCTTTATTTCCCCTTGCTTCACTATTAGTTCGCAAGTAGATTTTGTAACGACCCTCACCCTATCCAAACACAATATTGTCCGCTTTTGGCTCACCTGAACCAGAGACTTCCCAAGGGGTTGCCCATCCTGGTCCTACTCCAGGTTAAGCACGTTTAACTCCGGAGTTCTGGTAGGTTCATGACCATCACGGTTTTAAAATGTGTTGCGTCATAGAAGGGTGTTGAATCTACATATAGCACTTGCCCCCTCCACATCAGGAAATGTGGTATTGTGCATCTGTAGCTCGCTCGCTGTGGTAGCCTACTGGTGCCACTTGCACACGCTCACACACACCCGCCCACAAGGCCGCCACAATCACCCCCTTTGGGGCCCAACGTCCTCGTTGGCCACACTTCCGGCTGGGTAAGACTCGGATACCATTTGTAACGACCTTCACCCCATCCAGACACAATATTGTCCGCTTTTGGCTCACCTAGACTAGAGACTTCCCAAGAGGTCACCCATCCTGATACTACTCCAGGTTAAGCACGCTTAATTCCAAAGTTCTGTTAGGTTCACAGCCATTACAGCTTTAAAACGCATTATGTCATATAAGGGTGTTTGAATTTACATATAGCACCTGCCCCCTCCACACCCAAGCGATATGGGATTGTGCACCTGTAGCTCACACAGTGTGGTAGCCTATTGGTGCCACCTGTACATGGTCACACACACCCGCCCACAAGGTCGCCACAGATTTATTGTTGATATCCCTTCTGGGCATACTATTTAACATTGGAGATTCATAATATTCAAGCTTATTTAGAACTTCTATTTTATATGTTTGAAGCAATTGATTCATTTTGGGGCTTTAAAAATAACATTGATCGTGTTTTCGTTTCCTGTTGTCGTGCAATTTAACAAATGAATGCATGCTGACAGAATTTCAATGCTATTTTCTTTATATTGATTAAATTTTCGGTACACAGGGTTCTGGGAATGGTAAAGATGGGAAACACAGTGAACAGTCAACTCTAGTGCACAATCAAAATTTGAGCTCACAAGTCGAGCACACAGATACAAATATGAATCTCTGTGAAAAGGATGATCTTTTTTCTGCTAACAAATACCTTTTATCTAGAACTCTGAAGAGAGAGCATCCCTATTGCTATTCTCAAGTTGAAGCTCATGCAGGAACTGCCAAGAAACATAAAGTGATCGAGAAAGAGGGTAGACGTCATTGGTTCCTTGCTGCAACCCCATCCCCGTCACCTGAAAAGGTAGACACTGCTGCTTCTCCTCGAGAACTGCTGGGTGAAAAACAAATATTTGCTTCTATTAACAACAGAACAACTCGTTTTTCAAAAATGGACGTGGAAAGGGAGAATTCCAATGGTGCTGTTGGGTGTTCCCATGTAATAAGTTTAGAATGCAATCATGCTCATAACGTCACATGCTCTGTGGGTAGTTGTAGCATTACCAGCAACAATTCCTTTAAGTTGCCTTGTCAATTTTCTGTGGCTCCTGTTGAAGATACTGAAGATCATCTTAGTGATGTTGAATCTGCTTGTCGGTGTGGGTATGATGAAGGGAACTGCCTCCTTCCCACTAAAGAGGAAATGGCAGCAGAAATCCATAGATTAGAGTTGCATGCCTACCATTGCACTATGGAGGCATTGCATGCATTGGGACCCTTAAGTTGGGAACAAGAAACATTGGTGACAAACCTTCGTCTTTCACTCCATATATCAAATGATGAACATTTGATGGAGGTAAGGAACTTAATTTCTTCTGCAAGCAGCACTCCTATTAGTTGACAGGAAAACCAAGAAACCTTTCTTTTTTCTTTGTTTTTTTCTTAGTTGGTACTCACACACACATACCTCCACTGAGGCTTGAACCCCTGACCTCCCTTTGAGAAGTAAGGACCTGATACCGCTAAGCCACTAGCCCGTTAAGAAACTTTTCTTTTCTTTTCCTTGTCTTTTGTTTTTTTTTCCTTTTGTAGTTTTCATCTTTTATGAGTAGAATTTCTTGTATTTGATTGGTTGGATGGCCTCAAACCATTGTAAGAAGCAGGATGAAATGTTTTTGTTCTTTTTTTGGTCACAAAATCTGTAGCTGTTTAAATTGAAACAAACATTTAACGGATAATGAATGTTTTTGAGTTCATATTTGGGTATTTTATATCCTTCTTGCCTTTTCGGAGATTCTGCTGTTTCGACATTTTATAAATGAGGAGGAAAATTATTCAATGCATAGTACAACTTAAGTTTGGTAGATGATCACGTAAAGTCCATCACATGCATGCAGGGACCTGTTGAAGGCCCATTGGGGGCAATTGCCTCTACTGATTTTTTTTTTTTTTTTGGGTATTATATACATACTATTTTTTAAAATTATATATACCTAAAAAATTTTAAAATTGCCCCCCCACCCCCCGAAAACATAATTTTATGTGTCCGTCCCTGATCATGTGAATGCATTGCCAACATTGTTTTGTTGTTAATGACGTTATTCTTAGGCCAAATGCATTGGGAATAATATGCCTAATCATTCTGATATCCTCTTTATTTGTATCTTATTTTTTTTTTTGTTTTTTGTTTTTTTTTTGTTTTTTGTTTTTTGTTTTTTTTTTTCATAACTTCATCAAAGTCGAATGGAGTTTGTAAATTCATTTGTTTGGAATTCCTGGAGTTTAAGTGTACCATGCTCTGTTCCATCATTTGGCAGCATAAGCATTTTCTTTTGAGGATATTATTGATGCTTCCCCTGCTTTTTCCAGGGCCAAAGTAGAAGGCTCGTACACCTTGACTCCAAATGTCTAAAGGTGATGTTGAGATTTGTCACCTTTCTGTTGATGCAGACAATAGTCCGCATCAAATTAGCTACAAATAGGACAGCTTATGATGATCGATTGGTATGATCAATATATTGGTTGATGCATTCTTCGATTCTGGGCCACCTCCGAGCCTTATATGCATTTTGCTAAAGGATGTAGGACCAGAATGTTGTGCGGCCACAGGGTGTCCTCATAAGTGGATGCTTGAAAGGTTTTCCTTCGAACCTTTATCTTAGTTCAGGCTCAGCATGTCATATTTTTCTTACATACATGTGCTTTCACTCCATCTGTTGCAAAGTTTTTTCATCTCATGGAAGTTAACTTTATTACTTTTAGAGTTTTTTTAGTTTTATATATTTCATAAACTAGATTAATGGTTGGTATATTGCACAAAAGTTTTCCTGAGTTTTTGTAGACGACTATCTTTAGAGCATATGAGTGATGATGATCCAGCAATAAACCTACATCTAGGCAATAGCTGCCATACTTCTACTATATCTGAACTAAGACTGGTACCATATGTTTGAGCTGAATTACTTCTTGCAACCTTAGAGAGTGCTTATACATATGGTTAACCAATGTTGTGTTTGCATCTCTCTGCTTCTCTTTTAGTTTATGGGGCTGGATCTTGTAATCTATATCCTTGACATACCCAACTTATGAAGATGTCCCTTTTTGAGCCAAAACAAATAATTGAGTGGTCTTGCTGACCATTGGTATGTCAGTAATCTACTACTTATATTGCGTTTCTATAAATTGACATAGTTTATGCTGCATATCTAGTGACTATATGTGGTTATTAAGAAATGCTTTACTGATATCTTTGTTTGCAAGTCTCTGCAAATTTTATACATATCAAAGGTATATAGAGTGTAGAAAGATACATTTATGAAACCAACACCACCCCTCCCTCCCTTCTCTCAACATAAGCAAAGAAAAGGTTGTATGTCCGCAATTTGTGTATTTCAATATAAAGGGATAGTCACTGGTTCCTCTCCAAATTTGACTAACAGGAGTCCTTTTATTTCCTTCAGAAAGTGCTAACGGAATCATAACCACATCTAGTTTAATCACTTCAGGACCATGGTAGAAGGATCTTGATTGTACACGGCTGCACATAGGTGAGTTCTAGGACCGAGATAGTAGGTGCATGGTGTTGCAGTGGAAATGATGAAAATTTAAGAGGTTCCCTACCATTTCTAGGCTTGACTTGCTTGCTACATATTGATGCAAAATTACCTCTAGTTATATTTTAATCAATCATGACAATTCTGTTCAAGGCAGCTAACATGTTAAAGGAGAAGTATCTTGCCTTCCTCCTATCAAAACATAAAAATTCAAGTACACTTTTGTGAAAATTTGGAGATGACCATCTATCTGAACCCTTGTTCTTTCAGAAAGGCTACGAAGCTTGTTTGTAGATTTCATGGCTACTCCTATGTCTGTTTGATCTGATGCAACATTCTCAGTGGAAGCCTTTTAATATATCACGTTCAATGTCTCTACGGAGCTGGTTCAGCAATGAAGTTTCTAGGCAAGTTCTTGGCCAAAACAATTGGGAGATATTCCTCTTGTTAGAAATGTTGTTTGAGATCATGCTTCATTGCTTCTTATGGAGGTTGTACAAATAAATATGTTTTTTCCTTAAGTTGTGAAGATCTTAATTTTAATACAGATTCTTTTGGATCTTTGTGAAACTAAGAAATTTGTTCTGATTGCTTTCATAGTTGCCTTCAGATATGATTATAGGGCATAAATCTTGATCAGTATATATTTATACACACCCAACAACCACCATGGCATGCTTTTTTCGCTGCTTGCTTAATCTTCACATCATGTTTTTAAAATGCATCTCCTACGATTTAAGGGCATAAATCTTGATCAGTAAGTGTGTCTCTATATATATTCAACTATGGCATACTAATTTTGCTGCTTGCTTAATCTTCAATTCATGTTTATAACATGCATCTACTTGGATGATATTTTTATTTATTAAGGAAATTAGGAAAATAGGAGTATTTATGTGCTTTAAAAAAAAAAAAAAATCATTGCAAATCTGACGGCTACTGCTTTAACATTGCTTGCGCCTTTGGAATAGGCTCCGGCTTCCAAGCCATTACTTGCTATTCTCTTTCTTCCTGATGTTTCAAGTTTTGAGTGATGTGTGATCTGGGGGGAGGAATTTATTTAAAAGACTGATCTGTTAAACTTCAAGTTGAAATTCAGCGTTGCGGCGAGCTCGGCCCAAACATAGTCCAAACCCGACCACAGTTGGGTGGGCTGAGGTCAAGACCTAAAGTTACGGGTTGTGTGTTTGTGGGCTACTACTCGTCAGTGGGCTATGGACCTCTCTACGTAAGTACGTATTGCTTTTGAATCCCATGATTAAAGTAATAGTCTCAGCAGTTTTTGGGCCTCCTTGAGTCTCTTCATTGGGCTATGGACCTCTCTATCTATTGCTTAAGATGCATGACGACATCTACTCTCCCCGTGAAAACATATAGAAACACCCTTTACATATTATGTTCGACGTTCAAGTAAGATTGTTATTCTGATTCTTGATCAATAATATTTTTGTCTTTTTCAGGAAATAAATAAAAAAGTAAACTCGAAAATATTCTATAATTTCTTCACCATATCTAAAATATAATTGATAATCCCCATATCTGCTCCAATCAGTAATTTGGATGTAAAGAGATAGAAAAGAAGAAAAGGTTTTAATCTTTTTTTTTTTTTTTTTTTTTTTTTTTGTCTTCTCCTTATGTAGCAGAAGTATGAATGACAACAAAGCGGGATGGGGCAGGGGACGCAAACTGCATCCCCATTCCCATCCCCTATTAGCATAGCTGACTTAATTTTGGTCCAAAACTATTTATTAAATGGTGTGGGGACGAGGTGAGGCGGGACGAGGATGAGTCTTTGGTAGTTGTATTACAAATCTAACGAACATATTAATATTATTTTTCAATCTTTGTAATAATTTTTTTTATTATTATTATAAGAACATCAAAATAATATATAGAAATTTTCAAATAAGAATAATATAAAAGAATATTTAGTGATTGGGATAGAATAAATTAGGATTTGTTGAATATATACCTAATATTATTAAATATAAAAATATAAGTATAAGGATAATAGTAACTTATTACTATAAATGGGGAGGGGGTGAGGCTGGGCGACCTTTCCCATTCTCGCACTTGCCCATAACCATGTAGTTTTCAATCTGTACATATTATATGCACATATTTACCGGTACCCGAACATTTAAGATAAGGAAAATGAAGTATCCAATATAAAATATATATATATATATATATATATATATATATATAATAAAAAGAAAATAAATAAATAAAATTATTATTATTATAAAAGGCAGTGGCATTGCCATTTTTCTCTCTCCAATTCTATTCGAGGTTTCATGTATCGTCCTTAGCTCAGTATATATTATCGTAACAGCATTTGATAGTTGGATGACAGATTACATTTTTAAAAAAATTAATTTACGTTCTCATTCGTTAAATGCTGTCGTTGACACTTGATTTAAGAAATGAAGATGCAAACTCGTCGGCATAACAAATTTTCTCTCCTCAACAGTGAGAATGATTGATTGAATGAATGCCTCTACATTTTTGTGGTTCCACCATATCCTCAGCCACTGTCTTATTAGCATACCGACCAAAAAGATTATATAGTCTCTTCATGCAAACCAACCCAAACTTTTAACTTGTACCAAAAATTTACCTGTTAGTTCAACATTGGTCCCACTATTGTCTAGACACCCACATGCAACATGTGACATGCTTAAGTATATATGTTGTAGTACCATTCCCTTCATATTTGAGAAATCAAATTGTGTGCATATTTAGTTGTCATTTATAAAAAATAATTTTAAAAAAACATAGCCTATTAACCCACATGGTGCATTTAATCTTAAGAGCTTCATATAAGCAAGCCCTTGTTTTGAATATTTTTAATCATAGGCTAACAATCTCACATGAAAATCAAGTTGCGGTTTACTTGATATATAAAATGATACATATCATGAAATTGAAAAACTTTAGCCTATAAATAGCCCAAACAACTCACATTAATCAAAGAGTACTTGACATGAGCCAGCTAAATTTCAATGGCATGATGGGAAGAATAGGAGACATTTGGGGGATATAATTACGCGCCTTATTTAATATTACAGATGAGTGTTGGACAACTGCATCTATATGTATATATATTTATATATATGTGCATTTACTAGGGATCTGTAGAGCCCCAACAAAGCCTAATATGTCTCCGGTGAGCTGGCCATGTTTGGATGTTGAATCTAAGACTATCTTCTTGTCTTGTTATTGTTCTGCATTTCTAGTTTCAACTCATTATTGATAACTTTTTTCATTCAGAAGATCCAAAATTATCAAAAGCATCTTAACTTTTTTGTCACATGAATCTCTCTTACAAGAATGATTAGCTGTTGGATATTAATATATAGCTTCCAAACAAATACCTATTTTTGGATGTGCTTATGATGGTTTTTAATATTATTTTTTAAATGGTTGAAACAGTTTAAAAAAAAATTACTAATTATCATTATTCCAATTATCATTTTATCATATTAGTCTTATGTTTCCACGTGTATAAGTAACACTGATTGATCAAATGTAATCATTTACGTGTTTTTATGTGTATATATTATATGTATCATATGTACACTCACATATAACCCTTATATGTATTGCTTATGAATCATTTTGCAACGCCGGGAGACATAGGTAAAAAAGGAACAGAAGAATGCTCAGGAGTCGGGACAAAGCACAAAGAAACAAAGCCCCTAATATTAATAATGAAAGACTAAGATTTATGATATCAATAACTACTAGTAGGAGAAGAGCATTGGTTTTAAAATAATGGGAAATTTTGTATTGAAGGATCATGGGGAACTTAAACAATTATACATTTGATTAATTTAATTGTTATTAGTAGCATATAGTGTAATGATTAATTAGTAAAAATAGGTGTCTACCTTAGCTATCCTTATGACCTTGGTTTAATTAGTTGTTATTAGTGAATATCACTGGGTGTCTTGTTTAAATTATATAGACTCCGTGCAAATTAGTTGCATAATAATAATAATAACGATATATGGTTGTGATTCTCGTGACACAGAGTTCAATACTAGTGTCATGGTAAGAAAGAATAAACATTTACATTGTCGTTAACATGCCATGATGTGGTGTGTCCAGACAGAAAGGCCACGTCATCACGAAAGAGGTAGTTTAAGGAATTAAAAATTAGGGTTTTCAAAGTAATTATAGACGTGATCACATGCTTAATAGCATGCTTTGATTCCTTTAACAAAAGCAAAAAAAACAGAGGAAAATAGAAGAGGCGGAGAGATGTCCCCAACCACATATTTCTTGTTGATTGTGGACCTAATTCCTCCTAATGTAATGTAGTGTAAGCAACCCCAACACCAAGAGCATGAGAAGATCCCCAAAAGTAAAACAAAAAGAAAAAGTTCAAATCTTACTTCTCACTACATTACAACTGCAAAGCCCTAAAACCCATAAAGAAGAACATATATAATATTGATTTGCATGTTGGTTCACAGTTTGCTTTGCTTTAAAAGAACACTTCCATGTCTTGGGCACTGCAACTGTTCTTTGCTTTTAATCTTTGTAGTAACCATAAAGTATGCAGATTTTGGGTGAACCTTTGTTTTAATAAAGTGGCACTACACATTCCAAGAAGATTGCAGTGGGTGACTTCCTCCTTTTCTAATTTTCTTTTCCTTTTTCTAGATTGCGGAGAAAAGGAAATCCTAATTCGGATTTTTGGGTTGTCGAAAAATTCATTTTCGCTCCCAATAAATCTTACTTTCATATATAGAATAGAGTAACGCTCTAAAAAGAGTTCCTTCACCGTGAACTCTTCATTTTATTCAATGAATTGATATATGTATTAAATGATTTATTTAAATTTTTATAAATACTCTTGAACGCATTCCTTTGCAGAATATATAAATCAGCTATACTATTACTTATTATTTTAGTGCTATGACAAGTACGAGTGTTTGTTAAGAAGGGGAGGAGAAACTACTTAGACTAAGGCTTTGGTAGTCATTTTCAAATTCTTTTGAATTTAAATAAACTTACATTTTACGAGAAAATTTTAAAAAAATAAAAATAAAAGGCTTAATCAACCAATCAATGTGAATGAAAGGTGACCAATGGACATGAATCATGTGCACCTCACATGAAAATACTTAGTGGTCATCTTCTAAATGCATTGTTCAATTTGTCTTAAATTTCTGGCTTGCATAGGCACGGTCGTTCAATACTCGCCTTCAGTGATTGATTAAAAATCAATCTTGTAAGATATATTTGGTATAGTGAAAAAGAAAAGAAATGATAACATTAGTTTCAAAAAAAAAAAAAAAAAAAAAAAGACGGTAGTAATCATATTTGGGAAAAGAAATGAAATGAAACTATTTTAATGAATTTACTATCATACCCTTTTTATAGATTTTGTCTTCTATAAAAATAAGGGCAAAATTGGTATTAATAAAGTTTCATTAAAAATAATTGTTTTTCCTTCTCTTTCCTTCAATTTCCTCTTTGTGAGGCCTTTAGACTTTTCAACCTGTCACGTAACCTTAGTTAAGGAATTATGTTGACCATTCAATATGCCACGTCAGCTATCATTATTTGACACCTACAAATTTTATACTATATTTTTTCAAATTTCAAATTCGTAACACAGAAACATAACGAATTGCAATGAAAATGTCACCTTTGTTTCTATGGCAAAATCCATTTTGGTGATCTTACCTAAACCAGAGTTCAGTTCTTAACTTATTTTAGGACCTCAAAACTGAGAAAATAAGAGACACAAAAAACAGAGAGAGAGAGAGAGAGAGAGAGAGAGAGAGATTTTGGGTAACAATAGACAACTCATGTAATCACAAGCAACTATGTCACATCCTTAATTTAAATTTTGACTTCTACAAAACTGTACTAGAAATTTAGCACATATATACAAAATGAGAGAACAATTAGCCGCCATCAACACTACTATTACCAATGCAAAAAACTAGCACCAAGCTTACATGCCAGTAAGCTAGACTACAACATTGAGTTGGCCCACCTTGGCCTTGGGGTTAGTATAGTAATTAGCTAAATGATGAAGAAGAGACCCAAATAGGAAGGAAATTAATTCTCCTACTTAATTCTCCTATATAGCAAGCAATTCAAGAATGCAACCATATGTGCGCTCACACACAAAACCCATACGTAACGCCTAACGCTGATGCTAATTTAGGACCCTTGATCTTTATTACTTGTTGGGTCAGACAAGCGTCGAAAAATGATGGGTGCACCATATTGTGGGTAGAGGAGGATCAGCACCGTTGGTGCATGTTGATAAGTGGGGGCCAGTCGGAAAGTGAACCGTTGGAGTATGATCGCAAGAGTTAGTTTAGCCTGCAATATGGCGAGATTCTGGCCAATGCAGGTGCGGACCCCAAGCCCAAAAGGAACGAACGCCACTGGATGCTTGGCTGCGCGGGCCACCCCTTCCGAGAATCGAGCGGGGTTGAATTCATTGGCATCCTTGCCCCATATCGTCTGATCGTGATGAACGGCTACGATTGGGATTAAAAGCTCGGTCCCACACGGAATCTTACATCCTCCCAGCTCTACATCTGCTTTTGCCCGTCTGATCGTTGCAACTATTGGTGGATAAAGTCTCAGGGACTCATTCAGGATCATGCTAAGCTGCACGCCAAAACACATCCTCCAAAATTAGTGTTTTTTTTAAAAAAAAATTTATTACTCCTTTATTTTATTTTATGAAATGACAAATCTGCCCCCTTAGAAAAGAAGTACTCCAGTACTAGTTATTTATTTTTTATACTCGTTTTTTAATTTTATAAAATGACAAATATACCCCTCAAAAAGGTATTAATTTTTAATTCAGATTTCTATATTATATTTAACTTAATTCCTTTATTCTGTTTTTTCCCAACAAGATAACTATGTGAAACGGAGAGTCAACCAAAGACATGAAGTTTTACATGTTTGTCCTTTTAGTTCTATACTTCAATTATCTTGAGCTTATATTTTAAAACAATTTGAACCCGAAGAGACCCTTAACTTTTACAAAGTGGTATGACAGAAAAAGACCAATTTTGTGCAGGGGGGAATCACAAAAAGTAGTAGTACTTTAGATGAAGATAGGGGGTGTTTAGGTAAAAAAAAGGACAAAAGAAAACAGGATTAGACAATGTAAGACGAGCTTTACCGTCTTAAGCTTGACAACATCATCTTTTGTAGGTACGTCACGTGGTCCGCACACCTTGAGCACCTCGTCACGTGCCTGCACCTGCCACTGTGGGTGCATAGCTAGCAAAACTGTCGTCCACGTCAACAAGTTCGACGTCGTCTGTTCGCCGGCGAAGAAGAAGGTCTTGCACTCTTCCGCAATGTCGTTGACTGTGATCTTCGACGACGACGAGGGAAAGGAATTCAATTCCTTCCTTTTCACCGATTCCTTCATGCTAGCTTGTATCATAAGTCCCAGCAAGTCCTTGGGACCATTTTCCAGCATTTCCTTCCCCCAATTTTCTTTCCTCCGATCGATAAGCTCCACTAGAGATTTCTTAATCTCTTTGTCCAATTTCCAAGACTCAATGTTCCTTTTCGTAGGTAGGAATCTGAAATATATATATATATATATATATATATGAAATTGAGGGGAAAAGAAAATATTAATTGGTTCCATTTTGTTGAGAATAAAAATATATATATCAAAAATTGAAGCTCGGGTCAATTTGGTTCCTTGGATAACAATATTCTGTGCTTAAAAATTTGAAAAAACAATAAATAATTCCAAATATATATATATATTAATTACCTAAAGCCAGGGATGAAAACTTTTTGGAAAGCCTCGGATGCTAGGAGCATTTGCTTTGCTTGTAATCGGAAAATGGCTTTTCCATCTTCGTAGCTGCTACCAAAGGCGGTTCTGGTGATAACATCTTCCGTCAATGTTTGGAACCATTCCGAGACTTCAATTTCGACTTCGTCGGAATCTGACATTTTGTCCAGCATATTGATCAAGTTACTCGCCGCCACCGGTATCAACAACTAGAAAATCAGAGTCAAAATTATTTATACTTTGTCGATTTTTCCAATGTGCTAAAAAAAAAAAAAATTTGTGCTTGGTGGATGATGACTTACTTTGAGATTTTCCATATGGAAGGTAGGAGAGATGATTTTCCTATGGTGGGCCCATTTTTCGCCTTTGAGACTCAGAAGTCCATCACCTTCAAGCTGTTTGATTAATGGGTGAGCCTCATTCTTTTCATAATATTCAGACTTGGAAGTGAAGATTTCTCGGATTAGGTCTGGATCGGAGACTGTCAGACGGACCGTGGGTCCGAACCACACAAGAAATGTTGCACCTGAAATTAATAAAATCATAATGTTAATTACTTCATTAAAACTAATGTAGGTAAAATAAAATGGTGAGAAGAGTGATTAAGCAAGAGATGAGAAGTTTTGCAGGTAGGAAGGAGAAAATTAAAAGCATAACAAGTAGAATGAAGTTAGCAAAAAGTGGTAGGAGAGGTTTTGTGCACTAATTGAGAAGGGCCTACATGATGAGAAAGAGAGAGAATAGGAAGAAGACAACTCAAAACTATGCCACTACCAAACACCATCTCAAAACTTCATTATCAATAAATTAAGTTCCCACAAAATCCAAAAAAGGAGCACAAGGCAAGAAATTAGGAAAAGGTCATGAAAACTCCATCATCATCATCATGTTCAAAATTCACAAATTCAATTTCTTGTGTGTCTGTGTGTGTGTGTGTTGTGTGTGAATTGGACAAGGAGAAATTAAGGGTAGAATTGGTATGAGAGTATGGGGATTAAAGGAGAAAAAGAAGAAGAGTGGAGCAGTCTGAAGTCTGGAAGTTCAACATCAAGCACCCAAACTGAGAAAAAGGCCTTTTGATAGCTTTAAAAGAAGTACCAAAACTCAAACATAAGCCAGACTTTCATCAAAAGTCACCAATGTTAAAAGAAATAAACCATACCTTCAATCATCAAAACTACGTACCTCTCATCATAAAGCCACCAAACCCAAATAAAAGTAGACTCAACAAAAAAAAAGGTTTCAGAATACAAAATTTCAACTACCCATATCAAAACTAATATATTAGAAGATTGAAAAAGAAATAAAAATTGAGAAAGAAGAAGAAGAAGAAGAAATATACCATAGATTTTCTTCCAGTGATGGTAGAAGGGGAGGACTCTAGAGAGAATATTGTGAGAGAAAGGGAAAGGCATGGGTTGAGAAGAAGCCTTGAGCATTAAAGTGACAAGTTCCTTAGCATTGCCTATGAAGAAGCGATAAGGAGGTCCTCTGATTCCTTGTCTTGAGAAATGGTCTTCAATCTTTCTGGGCCTCCACCAAAGCAACACCCCAACCTTCAGCAATAAAACCAACACCATGAAAAACATCACTACTAACTTAAACCCATACAACACCTCTTCCATCTTTGTTCAGCTCAGCTACCTAACTAACACCACCAGCTTTTTGTCTCTCCTTTTGCTATAGTGTGTGTGAATAAGCTGGCTAGCTGCCTTTGTTATGCTTCTTATCTTCTAATTTTGTTATGTTTGTTACTACTACTTGCTAGTGTCCTCTCTTTTTAATACCAACAAGCAGCTAGCTACTTGTGTGTGTGTGTGAGTGTGTGTGTGTGTGTGTGTGTGTGTGTGTGTGTGTGTGTGAGAGAGAGAGAGAGAGAGGGGGGAGGATGAGGTAAGAGGGGGGAAGAGGCTTGGCATGGCCAACGGCGTAGGTGCGGCCATTCTACTTATAAGGGTCAACGAGTGAATGTACTTTTTAATTTTTAATCCAATGAAGACAATGTTACCCTTGTCTTTTCTAAGTAGTGTCATTGTATCCCTTGAATCTATTCTCGCTTTTGTCTCTTGATTTTAAATATATAATAATAATAATTATAATTATTATTAAAGAGAATCCCTCTATATGAATAATGAATATACACACATAATCCCCCATCATAGAATATCATTTTTATTTTTCACTTTTTTTAGTATTTAACTATGTGAAAAACTCTTCTAACGTCATCAAATTTAATCCAGTCAATAATCATACCTACTGAAATTCACACTCACTGTATTGTTAGCAAAATTAGGTCCAAATTCTAAATTCTTTATGTATAGGCTATAGCCAAAATAAGTTATTTATTTACAAATTTTAATAATGAATTGTGCCCTTACTTGAAATGAAAAGAATTATGATGGGAAATTTTCATGAGAATACCTCATATTTTAGATTTGGGGATATATTTGTCTCTAGAGCAATTAAAAATTTAAGGGCGGGATTGGAGGATAACAGAGGAGCATGAGGTGTGCAGTTGTACATATTATATATGGTCAATAGTCATCCATATGTCATTGAATCAAAAACCATTTGGGTGACCATACCTCCGTGAGAAGTCGTGGTGACACTCCAAGTAATTGACAAAACAGGATAGGTGAATGTTACAAGATATATATATATAGCCACCACTTTTACCAAAGATGTATTATTGATGGGATACTTAAGTGAATGTTGGAAGATATAGACCTATTAGTGTATAGTAATCTTTCACCTCTCACGAAATCTTTGTTATCTTTGCATCAAAACAAAAACAATCGATTGATTGTAAACTTTTTCAATCTCCATCCAATTTTGTTTCACATAAGAACCACCAATGGAATACTTCAAATGCCCTTCTCTCTCACACACTTACATGTACTATACTATATTTACTCTATATTCCCTTTTGAATGGTAACTAGAAGAGGTTTGTCAACATGCAGAGCCGACCACAAATTTCTTTGTTGCATTGTGAAGTAACTCTTTTTTTTCTTTTTGTCTTTTTATGTATTGAGATTTTTTTTTCCTGTGACAAATAACTCTCATAATACTCTTTCATGAGACTTAAATCTACACCTTTCACTATGAAATGAAAATATATATATAATTATTATATCATCATCATTTTTTCTTTAAAAAAAAAAAAAAACTAAAAAACTAAAGAAAGTTTTTTTTTTTTTTTTTTTTTTCAGTTAATGCCTCTTAACTTTATATATTTGATGGTAGTGACATATTGATCTTAAAAAGAAAAAAGAAAAAGAAAAAAGTGAACCCCCCTCCCCCACCCAACTCTCTCAGTGGGGGCGTGTTATTGTTGGATATTATTCAAAATATAAAATATAATTTGCATCACGCGTGAATTGCCTCTAATAGAATATAACGTATTAAGACGCAAAAGTGAGATAATTTGTTGAACCACCTTAATAATTTAATCCATAGCAAAGTCAATAAATCGTTTCATCATAACAAAATATTCATTACAGATGAACACAAAACAAATTAAACGCATTGACTCGTCCTAATTTTTTATCATTCAAAGTTTCACTTCTAATAAACTATCATATATCCCTAGCTTACAAATGTCACTGACAATGATCTTTTCAAGAGTGATAGTTAGCGCGCTCAATATCAATATTGGCCTATTATTATTAGGTGAATGTACAATGTATCCACCAAACATGTTCCCCGCGAAGATAAGCATACTACTATGAACATATATTTTTCCGGGGCTACATATTTTCTATTTAGTTACTGTTATATGCTAGTATAGTATGTAGATAAGAATTAGGTGTCATTAATGAGTCAACATATATATATACAGCTAATAGTGCATTTTGATAATTAGGATCCAAACGAAAGGAGATTTTAGCAATTGGATAAATAGAACTTATACATCAACCGACATTGCGATCTTGTGACTATTCAAAGTCCTTTAATGGGGCACATCATTAGTGAACCCCAGAAAACGGTGAGTAGTGACAATGTTAAGATTAGGTGAAATTCAATTTTTCTTAAAGAAATAAAAAATAAAAAGATGGTGATATATCTTATGTATTGTTGCTATATATAAACAGAAGAATGATAAAATCAACCTCTCATTCATTCTGTTGATGCTATCATTTTCCTTGTAATTCCATCAGCCCAAACACAGTAGAAGATGGAAGAGAGAGAGAGAGAGGTTATGGGGTTTAATCCGTCTTGCTTGTTCCCAAAAAGAAGGGTTTGAAAGGAAAGAGAAAGATGGAAGGGAGCACAAAGGGGGTTGTAAAATTGGAATGTTGCTCTTAAATTTAGTGCACATGGGGACACAATGCTGTCTATTTAAGGCTTCTTTTCTGTGCTTTTTGGTAGGGAAATATGCTTTGCTTCACCCAACAATCACTACCCCAACTTCCCTAATCTTGTCTTAATACTCCCAAGACATGTTTGGGCGCATGTGCCCTTCTTGGGTCCTACTCTTTTTTTTCATAATCAAGCTCGACAATTACATTTCATGTGTTTAAGGGGAACGCTAGCTTCCCCTGTCTCCCTTCAACTTATTTGGTTAGACCACTCCACCACTTTCTTAGATTATGGAAAAAGCAGCTTTACTTTTCTTCCAATTTCATATTAGCTTCTTCTCTTTTGTCTTTCTTTTCTTTTTTTTCTTTTTTCTTTTTTTGGTTGTTGTTAGACTAATACAAATTATTACCAAACAAATTCTTATAATTTTTTTAGGAAAAAAAGAAAGATATTTTTTACTAATGGTATAAAGATTAATTAGAGTAATGATAGACTTATGACTAGTTAGTACCTGGACTTCTAATCACCATAGGTTAGTTGGTGTCACACATAATAGGACTCTACTATTTATGTGAGATACCGGACTAGTTAAGTATCGACAAATATTTTATTTTGCTAAAAATTAATACCGTAAACATATACATTAGGGTGGAGTCGGGTGCCTTACTGAGTAGGGTCTGAGGCCCTTGATTTAGGGTTCTTGACAAACACCCATGAATCCCAAATCATCCTACCCGATTAGAACCCAATGCTAAACAATAATACTGTATTATCAATGAGCTTAGTAGTTGATTTTCTACTGACTTTTCTTAGGTTGCTTGGTGTGGCTCAAACTCCAACGTCAATAGAATAAAGTAGCAGTCATTGTTCTGTGAAAAAAAAAAAAAACAAAAAAAAAAAACAACTAAGAGAGCAAAAGAGTTGATATTGCGATCAAAATGCCTTTTTATTTAAATCTTGATTTTCTCAAAATTTATATCTCACAAATAGTACATCCAAATATTACAAATAATATATGCATGAAAAGTTTATAAAATAAGGATTCCATAAATATAAAATTTGTTTGACAAAACTTTATAACCAGAGATAAATAGACAATCTAAAAATTTACTGTAATAATCTTATTTTATTTTATTTTTTATAAAATACTCGGACTATTTGCAAGAAAATTTTCAGAATTATTCATTTTCATATGGAGTATAACATATAAAAAAAATTAGCCCCGATAGAGACCGAATATTCATTTTTTTTAAATAGTAATTTTATAAAAGAATTAAAATACTTTAACATAAAATATAATATATCATGAAATCGATCATTGTTGGGGCTAAATTTTTTATATATTTGACTGCACATGTAAATGAATAATTTTGAAAATTTTCTTGCAAATATCTAGAGTATTTATTGTTGGAATAAATTTTTAGATTACCTATTTATCTCTGTTTATGAAGGTTTGTTGTACAAATCTTATATTTTTGGGATTCTTATTTTATAAGCTTTCCGTGCATCTATTATTTACAATTTTTAAATGTACGATTTGTGAGATATGAATTTTTGAAATTTGAAAAAATTAAGATTTAATAAAAAGGCATTTTGGTTCAAATATCAATTCTCTTACCCCTTCAAATAATTAAGAGGGGTTCTGTTTTAAAAAATTAGACAAGAGAATTTATTAAAAAAAATGTTACAAGTTGAAGGGGTTATTTGATAAAAAAATAAACAAGAAGAATTTACTAAAAAAAAAGTTATAAATCGAGGGGGTTTTTTTTGTACGTTGCCCTAAAAAAAAATAAGTGTATCTTTCTAAATTATTGCATTAACGAAAGCAACAACAATAAATATCACGCATGTTTGTGCTGTTATTTTGACAACTTAATTCGATTGTTTGTATGACAGTTCATGCATACGATATGAAAGTGTGTGTGTGTGTGTGTGTGTGTTGATAGTGTTTTTTGTTGGGGAGTTGGGAGATATCATCATCATTATCATCACTTCAAGTTAGCCTCTGATTGAACACTTCAAGGAGGATCTGAACTGTCCTTGAAAGCCTGTTACTTGTCTAACTTTAGTTAGATAGGGCTGACAGAAATCAAAAAAATTCGTAAAAAAGAATCAAAGTGTAAATTAAAAGAATCAAAAGTTTTGGGCTCTCAACAATCAAACATATAATTTTCTCTGTGCGCCATATCAAAAGGACAAAGTTGGATATGCAAATCCCACTCAATGAAGCTGTGGAGTTTTCGAAAATGACCAAAATCATCCAACCAAGAAAAGCCTGCTCATGACGAAGTATTTAACAGAAAAGCTTTCAACTAGTTACACTTTTGAAGGAGTAAGGGCATATGATTTGTCAGTTTATGAAAAATGGAGTAGCTACTGTATTTATACCAATTTGTTAGTGGTTTCTTATTTCAATAAAATAAAATAAAAAATAAAAAAAAAATTATTCATCTCTCTCTCCCCATTGTCATCTCTTAATTTTTTACAAATTAATTTGAAACTTGAAGGAGTATATATAGTTAAAGAATAAAATAAGTGATGCGGTGAGGTTCTCGTCCTCCAAATTCAGAGAATGTAT